ATGTATACGTACTGCAAAGCGCTTTAGAGTGGCTTATGTTAACTAGCTAGATAGGGCGCTATATCAAATGCTGTATATTAATTATTATTGTTATGCACAGGTTCTGGCAATGTTGATTGTATATTATAGTTAAAAATACAGCATATTTTCATTTTATTAATTTATAAACTCTGTAATTTAAACAATGAGAGTGTAAAGTTGTTTTTACTTATGTAGTTAAGTATCAGAAAGAGTTAAGCCTTGTAAGGGGTGAAAGGCCTTATTTGGGCAAAATATATTTCATCTATATATATATCATACATATAAAATATCAATATGTGTATGAATTTTGATGAGTCAACAAATATTTTATCTACCTACCTGTAAACTTTGCATCATTAATGAGCGACCAGTGTTGACCCTGACTCAGCACTCCCACAGAAATCAATACATGTTTATATCACTGCTACCAAACATACATACATATGTACTAGTATGTAAACAGTATACAGTTTCCTGAAGCTGCCAATTCAGCACATCAAATATTACAATAGCAAGGTTTTTATTCTCTGGCTAAAAGATCACAAATAACACATCCTATTGAAGGCACAATAAACTTCCAACTTGAGAAAGGCAAAAAATGTCAATTATTTTCTATGTATAAGTCATTGTTACATTGACATAGTCTTCAACATGATGAAGTAGGTCAGTTTTTTGGTAAAATAAGCAGAAGTTATCTTTCCCACAGAAGCTGTACAGTATGTGGCCATGGTCTACACAAGGAAACCATCACTAGCACCCTCACCTGACCAACAGATTTTGGGTTATGATAAGAACACTTTGATGATCCATGAGAAAGTGTTAAAACAAACACCCTGGTCTGCTTTCAATCATAAAATGTATGTCAGAAATTCAAAATAGATACACATTATCAAATGTTTCCCACGGATCTTGATACCAGCACAGTACATCCCAGTAGATCAAAGAGTTCCAGACGAGAACACACTGATGCCAAGTTAGTACAGATCTACATGGACTGCTGAGACGGAGGGCCGTTTCTTGTCCCCTCGCCAAAACTGGGTACATTTGTAACATCACTGATAATTCATCAAATCATTACCAAATTGATTAAGATCTGCATTCCGTACCACAGCTCCTAGATCTTCCCAGCACAAGATTTAGGTTTTCACTTGACAACAAAATGTTGGTGTAATACTTTCATATCATACTCAGTTACCATAAGGCAGACACGCACAATGCAATCATAATTTGAGCTTAATTAAAAGGAACAGACTTATTTTCTTCCTGTCAGACATCCATCCCAAAAGTTACACTCTCATCAGCCTCTGTATTATCTTGTTTTCATCACACACAACCAAATCAGTATATCGCATCTTGAAATTTCCAATTAGGAAATTATCATAACTTCAAATAAAGATTTGATGTACATGTGTAATTTGCAGCTGGTCCTCATGGAATCAAGTAGAGTTTATAACGATTAAAAGCTATCCTTTAGTTTCAAATATATAGTCATCCTCCTTGATTAGTAATTATATATATATAAGTTCACCATATTTAACTTTTACATGTGTAAAGCACGATCTCTTTTATCTGGGTTCATGAAAAAAACTTTAATCTCCAATACAAGTCCTGAATTCAAATAAAGTTTTAACATGTCCTGCTGGATCCAAGTCAAGTTCTACACATTTATGCATGTTGTTGTTGGAAATGTTTTGAGTAAACATATCACTCGTGGCACAATGATTTGCAGTGTGGCATTGTGTTTACCCAGGTACACATGTAATCGAATGCAGTACTGCAGCAGCGGTAATCAGTACTGCAGCAGCGTGAGATAGCCGAATCTGAACAAACCAATCTTATAAACGACACTTAATCTGTTGCCTTGGTTGCATGGGAAGAAATAGTTAAACAATTTGTAGGTAATTGGTAAAGAAAGGTAACACCACTATCTTCCTCCTTCCTGATTTAACGTGCGCTTCACCAACAAACAGATTTACACAAAAAATGTATAAATGTATACATCTACATTTTACATATACATGTATATATGTATTTATTACAGCTGTGTTTTCACTTGGATAAGACTCAACAGACAATGATATACAATGTAAACATACCAGACATAGTTATTTTGTTTTAAATCAAAAGCAATATAATAACGTCATCATCATGATCCCATATTTCCTTTTTAAAAGCTGATTTACATGTACCTGATACATACATGGCTCTCTTACTTATTTACCTGGCATTACTTATAAAATTTAGAACACATAATTAAAGTTATAACCATGCACTCAAATAAACCAGCAACTATAATTACCACGATGAGAGTGTAATGTAAGTATTGAAGCCAATTATAGGGTACTCAGCAATGTGGGGGAGGCATTATCAGAGTTGTTTAAGAATTTATAATCATAAACTGTAAGGTTTGTTTTATTTAGTTGTGTTTTAAGGCCTTTCAACAGCTATGGTATTTATATAAGGATGTGCCAGGTTTAAATTTAGGTGGCAGAAAAAAACCAGAGTGTCCAAAGAAAAACGTAGGCCTCGAACCTGTGGTACACATGAAATGTACCATGCACTAAAACTGGTACAGTGGAGGACGGGTGGGGGCAGGTATGTGTTGAATAATAGAACTAACACAGTAACGTTCAAGTCATATTTACTGATAGAACCAAATGTCAATTGTACACTGTGATACAATATGTATCACGATATCTGGAATATATTTAGCAGTTATTTGAAACCTTTTATCTGACAGGCGAGAATAATAGGTACAATTTAAATAACATTCAATACAAAAATGCAGACATCATTCAATTGTCGTATAATTCCACTTCTGGCTTAAAATCATAATTTTAAACAACTGAAAACGGACATAGATCATTGTCAATATATTTACCGATAGTGGTCGTAAATGGTTTTGAACGGAAACTGTCACATTTCGTCTTTATTTCCCAACATAGAAGTAAGACTGGCTTGCTTTGACATATCCTTTTAATGTTATAGACGTGTAACGCGAGTTTTTCTTCGAACTGCCACTATAAAGATTGAAGTACTGATGATTCATATATGCGTGTGCACTTTCGTGGTATTTCAGGCATACTTCATTTTTTTCCGCCATCTGTTGTGATAAAAGAACAATGTGTCCGTCTCGAATATATTATTTTTGGATTGAGCAGATTTGAAAGTAAGCCATTGCGAGACAGGCGACTTGAAATGTGCAGACACCTTGAGGTATTTCGCGTCATCACTTTGAAGAGTTCCAACAAGGGAGAGTACAAAATTAAAAGCATCATATCACGATATAGTCTTGCTGCATCAATGCATCGTATCACAGCCCTGGCGATCCAATACATTGATGCATCGGTGAATTGTTACACCCCGAGCTAATCAATATCAATCCAATTTGCGCATTTGTTTATATCATATTCCTGGCTGTTTTATAAATGCGAAAAGGTTAAAAAAAAGGCTTTGAACTATCTGTGCTGGCATGTCATATTCTAGCCTCTAACATTTACGGGATTGCCAGCCTACATGGAAAATAAACACCATACAAAATGTGCATGGTGGTCACACTCACAACAGGGAGTCCTACCAAACATCTACATCTACATCTCCCTGAGATCATCCTTTGTCCTTCACTCCTCCTAATTAGTGTCACAGAGATTGAAAGGATTTCTCCAATACTCCAGTTTCCTCCAACATCAAGACCCCCTAGCTACATGTATATAGCCTGTGCATGCACTTCCACCCAAGCAAACAAGAGTGATTAATATCACTTGGTAAAACTTTTTTTTCATAATTGTTGTAAAATAAAGCTTTTTATTGATAATAATGGAAGACAGTTGTCCGAGATTACAACCTGGCATGAACAATGGAAGGTGATTGTGTGTATGCACACTGCAGGTACAGTACATCAAGAGAACTGGGCTAACTATAGTTAACTGGAAAAGATGATAAAAAAGTGTTTTTTAGAGAATTTTACCATTGTGTAAAGTCTCAATTAAGAAGCTGACTCCATGAGTATTTCTTCATACATAAAACAATATCATGTATATAAGGTGATATATGTACTGTGTTCGACTTAATTAGGTAAACAAAACTATTATTGTTATGGCCAACGAAAAATCCATAATGTGCAATCAAAACTTAAAATCAATTTAATAATAACAAATACATATACTGTATATATTCAAAATGCTGACTTTCAGTTACTGTACACAAAAGAAATCCAAATATTTTTTATCTTTTGACTTTTACAGTTTACTGAAACACGTTATATTGATCCAGATCTGCACAGTTTTGTTCCCTAAATTTAGACCGGCATAGCAAGTAAAAGACCTTTTTTGCTAAAGCATGGAAATATGTTGGTGCTTGGTAAGCTATGAATCATCATGAATAGATTATTGGAGCATTGTGCTGTTAATGTTACTGCCTGGAGGCAATCATACTTGTAGACTGCACTTGCTGTGCTGCACACTACATAAGCACTACTGGTATGCGATGTCCACTATACCTGTAGCATATGTGACATGCCACTAGTCTGTACATATTTGAACATTTGAAATCAACAGTTGTCAAGCGTATTTACCTTCCTTGTTCTAATGGTGGTATGTAAACATGAAAGCTGTGATACCGGTGTGGGTCCAGTCACCTTTGACATTACTTGACCCCACCCCCTTTTGGTACCCCAGGCTAAACGTAATTCTAATACTAAAAGTATTACAGTTTTGATAATAACGCTGACACTTTCTCGACATTTGTTGGTTTAATAGGATGGGGAAGTCCTATTTGTAAGCTGTTAATTCCATCACACCCATCACTGAACACACCTGAAATTCGACACCCTTTCATTACACACTGGCGTCTGTCAGCCATTTTGCTGGAAACAACGATGTGTCACCTGTAAATAATCTACATAAGTGGGAAGCTTTATAATTTGTTGTATATAATGGTGTTTGGGATACTTCTTTTTTTCACGACGGGTCTATATTTACCTTTCCAATGGCCTTCTTGTACCGTAAAATAGCTTTAGAGATCAATTCTCCCACCAAGATATGTCCATCACCACAAGGAACGATCACTCGAACTCGATCGAAACAGACGGTCACTTTCATCGGCATCGTTTGATCTTAGTTCACAAGAATTATCATCCATCAACAGCAACGAATTCTCGTCTCATCACCATCGTTGTCTACATATTCATTTACTTTTTATGTAAACAGAATCAAAATAACCAAAGTTTGGCAACAGCCCAACTGTGGGCCCCATAATCAAATTGTCAAAATTCGAGGGTAAAGTTCCGTTTGATATTATATCCAGGCAGTGAAATGGAATCCAACACGTTAAGACCAAATAATATTGGTCAACATTACCCACTTATGTCCTTTAGAAGGGGTTATAACCCTGCTGGTCACAAATAAAAACAAACATTGTCGCCGTATCTAAACGCACCGTGTACGATACACAGTAACACACCTGGCCAAAACTGACGTGGGAATTCCCGCGTTATTCGAATATTCACGTCACCTTACACAGAGTTACGTCGAGACATTCACAGTAATCTTGTAGACGAATGTAGGACTTGGTTCATTTTCCTTTCACTTTGACACTTTTCCTTTAAATATCCTAGCGATCCGGCACACAGTGCCCAATGTGTTTCGATATTTACAGTGGGTGGCCTCGTTTTGAATTGAATTAAGAGGCACCTGTGGGGTTATTGAAACATCGATAAAAGGATGATAGAGTGCTTTCCCTTCGTTTTCTATGTGCAGGTGATGAGAATATCGTGTTCACCTGGGGATCAGGTACTAAACGTGTAACTAGAGTAATAGAATATAATGATATAGTTCCTCTCTTGGGAATGTAATTATCTATTAATAATAGCATGGACGAAGATTGGTCTAATTTTTTGATTGCACCAATCATGAAAACTATCTTGGTAATTTTGGTTAGGAAATTGTTCTATAGCCTAGAAGATATATTGTAATACAGATTTTTATTTCAATTGATTACCTCATAGGTTTTTATAATAAAACAAGTATTTAAAAGACAGAAGAATGTCAAAATAAATGAAATGGTTATGTGGATAACATCTTGTTGAAATCAAAAAAGGCAGAAACATCTCATAATTATTTTACAGAAAAGTAATATTAGACTATCGTTTTTTTCTTTACGGTCTTTTTCTTAACTCTTTTAGATTCAACCAGTGGCGGACCCATGGGTGTTGTCCTAGTTGCCCGGGCAACACCCTTTTTCTTTGTCCACAAATAATCTGGACCAATATTTTTTAAGATTTTCCTCTGTTTCATATGGGATTTCCTTCTAATATCAACCATCCCTTGAACTATGATTTTCTATGGCTTCCCTTTGCCAGCAGTTTAAATATCTATATATGCCTAAGGGTGTTGCCCAAACAAGGAGTCCACTATATATATAGCTACTCATACTCTAAACAATAGGGGATTAATCCTCCATTGTCTATATATATATTAGTAAGGTCTCCAGTCAGGTCAGTGGTCAAGGCTCACCGGACTGACTCTACCTTATCTTATTGTTCTAATGTCACGGTGTGGTGATCATGATCACCCTGTCATTTGGGAAAGGATTATACCATCTGCTGGAATTAGGTATCAATTCAATTCAATTTATTACCAAATGCACATTGCATATAGGCGTACAGAAATATACATATAGATAAATACTTTACAAACATCTTGTACAATGGCGGAGAACATATGCAATATATTCAATTCCATACATAATATTTACAAATTATGAAATTGGCATAAGTTTGGAAAAACTTTAAGGTTTTCCTAAGGTAACTTAGCGGACTCTTATGAAGCATAATTTAGTTGCATAATTTAGTCGTTTAGGAAATAATACAAATAAAGCCTTAATCTAACCAAATTTCTAGGAAATAACAAAACTTCAAAGTCAATCATACAACCTCAACATGAAGGTAGAACGAGTACTATATATTATATAATGAAATGAGATTATAACTTATTGTGAAATAAAAGACATAGATCTCAATCGCATTATACAGTGACAAAACGTTTATAGCAAGAATTTGATACAGCTTATATTTCATAATATACGACTTCTCTTAACAGTTGCCTGAATCAAGTACTAACTTAAATTTCTAATAAGTTTAAAAATTTTGCTAGACAGTAGCTCTATGAATTTAAACACAGAAGGACGAATACGATAATATGGCTTGATATACGATACTCTTAATTCTAAAAACACAGGACTCATAAGAATGAAGTGAAACTCATCCTCGACATCTCCAAGGTATATAGGTTAAGTATTATTTCAAAGGTAGAGTCTATTTCATAATTGATTTACATGTATTTTCACCGGTGGTTTCAAGTACACATGGTCACCAGGAGTGATTTATTATATCAATTAAAAAATATAAATTTCAAAAATTTCAAAAGCAATGAAAATGAAGCACCTTTCTTAGCATCACTTCAGCAGGTGATTTGTAACCAATGTTAGCATAAAAACCTAGCGTGTACATCCTTTTCATTAGGTGTTTCCCCTGTACATATGTATGCATACTTTTTCACAATAAAAGACAATCAGTTAAATTATAATTCATATTTATGACAAAATAGATTAATAATAAATTGCCAAAATGCTCGCCAAAACTACATGTATACATGTAGATTCGCGCGCATTATCAGCTGAATCTACGAATCTACAGATTCAGGGGGTGGAGGGACGACTCGAAATTGATATAAATATCAGCAACAATTAAGCTGATTTCTGTAAATCCCCTCTAACTTGGATTCGCTTGGGTTGGGATGGAGGGCTAAGGGAATACTTATCATTATCTAAATCCGAAAGACGGAAAAGCCTACTCCCCAGAGACGAGATTATCGTTACACAATGACATTATAACTAGTACTATGAAACAAAGACCATTGATGGTCTGGTATTAAATTCTCCCATTGTGTAGGATAGAGAAATCAACGTGGTGTTTCGGCACCCACTTTGGCCTACCGGTAGGGTACGTACGTCAAACGACCTGTAGGGGAGGCCAACGTTTTAACTATAAAAGAAAAAAGAAAACCTTTGGTCAGATTATTTTGGGATGACAGAATAGTCTCCCTTTATGTGCCATCTCCCTGACAGTGAATCACCGTTCTAATGACAAAAGTATGTTCACCTGGCGGCTCAGGTACTAAACTCTTTTTATCAAAAGTCTTCTTAAACTAGCGCAGTGATCAAAAGTCTTATTAAACTAGCGCAGTCCCTCTCTCGAGAGGTAGGCTATTAATCCTGATAAACAGGCCCATTCAATTGGCTGCTTGAATTATTTTTATAAGAATAATGTCATTTTATTTGTTATTCCTTTATTTACAGATGTTTGAGTCCAGTCGTTCTACGGATTCACATCGAACTATTTATTTATTCATTCATTCATTCATTCATTAATTCAACCATGCAAATATCATCTACTTTAAAATTAACCCGTGAAAAATGCTCTATTTACAGAAAATCACTTATTTAACCAACTCAGAACCATGATAATATCGTATTATTGACCAAAGTAACTAGAGCAAGATATAAGTTTACGAAAATTTGGCGTTGGAATTTTATTGAAAAAATAATATTGAACAAGCATTATGGCTTATAGACATTTTAAAGCTACCGACAGGGATGTAGATAGAAAATACTATTTATCAATTAAGGACTTTTGTTGATGTGAATATATGGTTATACATGGGCATGATCAAGTGATATTGACCGAGACGAAGTTTAGGTTAGTATCACTTTCTCTGGCTCATGTAATTAACGCAAATTCACCGAAAAAATCTTTAATTGTTATATCATATGTTAGTTAAAATTTTAATCATGTACAAGATAGAGTTAACTTTACAAATCACCGACCTCCACGTGATTATGATCCAACCAATGAGGATGCTGGAAAAATGTATATTATCTAACATTACTGAGAAAATCATCACACATATATAGGATCTTACATGAGTTTCCACGTCATATGAGAAGTTGTTTTAAAGGTTTTTAACATGTTTGACCCCTGTGACCTTGAATATATGTCAAGGTCATTCATTTGAACAAACTTGGTAGCGAGCCTCTTGCGAGCTAAAAAGAAATATTCGTGACGAGTTTCATAAATTTCATATGAAATGATCACGAATGTAAGATTCTTTTTATCACATATTTAAGATTTGTGGCATTTATTAGTGTAAAACGACAATTTTCATGCAACCTTGAAATGTAAAAAAACCGCGGTTTTGACTCCACTACGTAAGTCTGTGATGTTATGTACTTGTCCTAGGCGTGAAGTCACAATGGAAACAATTGAAACTTACAACCAATCACAGGGCTGATAGGTCATATTACATGAGTTAATACGCAAACAATATGACATGGGTATATTCACTTGATAACACAGTACATTATGTGATAAAGCTATTTATTACATACTTACTAATAAATACGTTTTTTTTGTATATAAGCTGCCTTTCATTCCTGAGGTTATAAAAAGACGAAGTGAAAAAGTAAAATAACCGATTCTGTTACATACTGACTAAAATATAAGGGGTTTTTGTATATGCGATACGACACAATTGCTCTTACCCATATCAGCCCTCGCCGTATCACACCCCAAAAGCCGTATCAGCCCCCGCCGTATCACACCCCAAAACCCGTATCAGCCCGCAAAACCCATTTCAAACCCCTTTTGGAAAAAAATCGTTTTTCAATATTTCAAATATAAAAATAAATCATAAGATAGTAGTTTTTATTAGTAAATATGTAATAAACAGAATTCGTTTTTCAATATTTCAAAAAATAAATAATCATAAGTAGTTTTTATTAGTAAGTATGTGTAATAAACAGAATAAAACACGCCTTTTTCCATTTCCCACCCATAATCAACCTTCGGCCCTTGGGCTGATATTGCAGTCTCGGGTTGATACTGGGTGTGATATGGAAAAAGGCATGTATTATTCTCTATATAAGTATATCTAGGCCACCAGACTTTTTTCCAGTAAATATGTTGTTGTTTTTTTTACAAAATATGAATAAGCATCGTTTTGTATTGGCATATATAATAATTTGACCCTTTTGACCTACACATAATATGACGCTTAAGTCAATAGCCTAGCAAAAATATCAGAATAACCCTAAATATCAGCAAATATTTTGTGTAAAAACTTAAGCAGGTTAAACAACTAGTTAAGTGAAATCGCAGCTAACGGAAAAGAACGCCTTTTCAAAATCAGCAACCAAAAGCATACTTCATAATAGCATCTAAAAAAGAGAATATCGAAGTGTCAACAAAACCATAGTTCGAACACAAAATCGATAAAACTAGGGCAAAATATGAACAAAGGTTTGGTTTGGTTTAATTTTGCTTAGCGTCCTTTTACAGCTAAGGTCATTTAAGGACGTGCTTCCATGTGCGTAGTGTATGCGTGCTTGCGTGTGTGTATGCAGGAGACAGGGTATGTTGGTGTGCTTGTCTCCTTGTGATAGCGCGGATCTGATGCCGACTTTATAGTGCAACCTCACTGAAATACCATGTCGAAGGCACTCAGCACAGCATTCCGCCCGGTCACATTCTACTGACAACGGATGAACCAGTTGTTGCTATTCCCCTAAATGCTGAACGTTAATTAGGGAATAGCAACTACCAT